CTAGAAAAGATACGGCAAAGATTCTTGTGGGGAGGAGCGGAAGATAGCAGGAAAATCAATTGGGTGGCATGGGATAAGATCACCTCACCAAAGGCGCAAGGGGGACTGGGGTCAGTTCTATCAGATCTCTAAATATAGCTATGTTGATTAAGTGGTGGTGGCGCCTGAAAAAAGAACCAGAATCACTGTGGGTTAAGGTTATTAGTGGGATTCATAATCTCAAAAACAAACCAATGGTATATTTACACAAAAAGAAAATCATTGGGGTATGGGGTAACATTGCAAATATAAAAAATGATATTGAAGTAATGGAGATTAAGTTTAGCGATATTTTCAAAAAAACTGTCAAGTCTGGAACGGAAACGCAATTTTGGAGAGACTGTTGGGTGGAGAGCATTACTCTCAAAGAAAAATACCCGAGCCTATATGATATGGAGAGGAAAAAGTCATGTATAGTGGCTGAGTGCATCGGGGATAACGGTTTTACAGGTAGGTGGTATGCCCGTCCTAGTATGGTTGGATTGGAAATGGAGTATAATCTTTTAATGGAGGATATCGCTAACACATCTATTAGCAATAGAGAGGACCAGTTTTGGTGTATTCTTGCACCTGATGGGGAATATGCAGTGAGACTAATGAGAAGCAACATTGAAAACAAAACAAACAGAATTGCAAGTGAGCCGAGAATTAGTTGGGAAAAAATTGTCCCGATTAAGGTGTCTACTTTTATTTGGAGAGCCAACATGGGGAGGATTCTTGCGGCATTAGAACTCAGTCGTAGGGGTTTGGAGATAAGTTCTACTTACTGTAGCTCGTGTATTAGTGAAGCTGAAAGTTGTGACCACCTTCTGATTAAGTGTCCTTATGCAACTGTGGTGAGAAAATCAGTTTTCCAATGGTGCAACATTACTAACCCACATCTGGAAACGGTAGGTGATCTGCTCCAATTTGTGGAGAATTGGGGGAGGGACGGAAGAAGAAAAGAGAGGGTCAAGGCGATATGCTATGGTCTCATATGGTGCCTGTGGAGAGCTAGGAACGAACGAATTTTTAAAGGAATGTTTACTGCGCCTTCTCGAGTAGTGGAGAACATTAAGTCCCTAGTATTCTTATGGGTGAAATGTAAGGGTAGTGACAATTATGGTATGTGGGAAGAATGGGTTATTTCCCCATATCTCTCTTTAAATTGTATTCTGTTTTGTACTGTTTTTTTGTTCTCCTGCCCCCATTTAGCTTCTCGTTACTTGGGGTGCTTAATAAAAATTTTCGGCTATTTCAAAAAAAAAAAAGATAGATGAGGTGGAGTTCCCAAATATGCAGGCCAAGTGTTCGACAAAGTTTTGGAAGTGGTATAGTGGTGTTCTTGTGGTTCAAGAACATAGGTTTGACTACCGATCAAATAAGGGGTTAAAGGGTGTCATTTGGCTATCGATCTATTTGATTTTCATGAGGGTTTCGATCAAGGAAGTTGTATTTTGGTTCGTTTATTGGGAAAAAGTTTTCTTGGATAATCAAAGTGTGAATTAAAGGCAATTGGGTTTTTCTCAATCGAAGTTTTTCACAAGGTGTGATTGATCAAGAAAGAGGTGTTGAAGAACAAAACCAATAGGTCAAAGCTGAAAACAAATTTTATGGAAAACAATTATAATGGTCTTGGTTATTTGAAAACATAAGTGATGTTTCTTTGAGAGGTTAATTGATATGTTTCATAGAGAATAATGGTCTATGGTGGGTCAAGTTTTAGTTCAAGGTGCGGGTGTTGCTAAAGGAACAAAGAATGTAGTTTTCACTTGTTGGCAAGAGGCTTGCAAGTAAGGATGAGATGATCTATATACAAAAAAGAGGAAAGTCAAGGAACGACTATGGTGGTGCTGTCACGGGATAACTGTTATGGTCCTTGTCCAAGAGCCATATCATATTGACTCGGGATACATGAGTTGATAAGAAGTCGATGGTCCACCGAGATGGTTCTATGGGTATCATGGAGGAAGTGGAGGGGATCTCCAAACGGGTGGAAGATGCCAACTTTGAGGTGGTACGAATTCCAGAAAGTATGTTCCTCAAATTGATACGATGTTGGACTTGGAAGTGTATAGATGTGTTTTTTTTCAATATAGCCTTGGGTCTATAGTGATGGACTTGTATTAGGATGTTCCTCAAGGTAGATCCGAGGTGGGTTGTCCTTCCTTTGTTCAAGAATTTTTTAAATTATGGGTTAGACCGCCCGTTAGATATTGGTTCGAGGATATGGGAGCCTACACAGTTCAAAAGGTTGGTGCTACTTTTTGCAAGGCAGTTATCTCGATATAGTTGGGAAAGGTTGGTGCTACTTTTTGCAAGGCAGTTATCTCGATATAGTTGGGTGTATAGGTTAAGGCGATGGTCGGAAAGTTATATGGGTCGTTGATTCGATTCATTGCTTATGTGTTTAGTCTAATGGTTAAGGTTGACTACGAAGGAAAACTTTCACCCGTAGAGAGACATGGGAGTTTCTTCATGGTGATCTTGCTGAATTAAAGTCAAGGGCTCAAAAAGTGGGTTTTTGGTTTATAAGATGGTGGATCATTTGGGATGTCATTATGTTTCCAAATACGGTTTGGAGCATTCGCCAAAGCGTGAGTACATTGGGTTGTATAGGGTCTGATATATACGTTTGGGTGGCAATAGTTTTGGTAGAGATCGTGGCGAAGTTGGGACAATTTCAAGGTGTTTGTTTTAGTGACTCGAGAAGTTTGGTTGGATACGCATCAACTATCCAAATTTGTTTTGATTTTTGTATAAAAGTTTGACTTTTCAATTTTGAATTGTTGGAATTTGTTTGAATGTCAAGGTGGAGATTGTAGTATAATGTGGCATTGAAATTATGATTAGGGTCTAATGTGTCAATGAGGCTATAACATATGGATTATTGTTGTAAATATAGGGGAGATAACTCAATGAGTTTTAACTCATTTAGATACATGTGAAGAAGAATTCGGTTTAATTCTTGTTCTCTATTCTATGCATACACAAACACAAGAACAATTTATTTCTTTGATCATTGTTTGTTAATTCTTATACACTTGTTTTTAATTACTTTTTAAATGTGGGGTGGTTTTTTTTCGATCGAACGGTGCTATTAAATTGAAGTTCTTGGCTACATTTTAAAAGTATAATTGATCAAGTGGTGACAACATTTGTCGAGTGATGGTCCAGAGAATGCTTTCAAGTGGAATTCTTTGATCTAGAAAAAAAGAAGGAAGAGTTGTTTAATTTCAAAGTGGGTGAGTTTTTTTTTGGAAGAGTTCTATGCAAACTTTTACTAATCTAGTAACATAATAGTTGAATTTCGTTTCCATTTTGGTTAAATTGTCGTTGTTTTGGTGTTTTGAAGTGAAAATAGGGTCTCTCCACAACTGAAATTTGTGTTGGATTGGAGTTTCCAAATACGCATGCCAAGGTTTTGATAAAAGTTCTCAAAGAGGTCCAATGTGTTCTTTCGGTTCAAGAACATGGTTTTGTCAACGATTTCAAAGGGGTTGAATAAGGGGGTTAAAGGGTTTCAATTCGGTATTGACCCATTTGATTTTCACGGAGGTTTTCCATCAAGGAAATAGTGTTTTGATTCATTTAATGGGGAATGGTTTTCTTGGATTAATCAAAGTGTCAATTACAGATGATTTGGTGTTGCTCAATTGAAGTTTTTCTCAAGGTTTGATTGATCAAGAAAGGGGCGTTGAAGATCAAAACCATTAAGTAAAAGTTGTAAAGAAATTTTTTGCACAAAAAGTTGCAATGGTCTTGGTTATTTGACAACATAAATGGTGTTTCTTCGAGTGGTAAATTGAGATGTTTCCAAGAGAAGAATGGTATATGGTGGGTCAAGTATTAGTTGAAGGTACGTATGTTGCTAAAGGAACATAGAATGTAGTTCCAATTCTGGAAACAGGACAACTATTTGACTCAGACTAAATTTAGGAAAACTAAATTATCAATCTATAGATATCTTTCACGACTTGGAATCAATCACAACAAGAATTACTGTAGGATGCAGATCAAGGGGAGGATTAGAGTCACTAAACAGGTACTTGAAGAACATCTCGAGATTGAAACTCGAGTGATGGAAAATATCACCATAATTGCTTGCGCATCCTCCATGGTAGTTTTCTCTTGTTTGTGAACCGGAACAAGGAACCACTACGGAACCACCGAAAGTGATCCACCTTCATGATGTCGTTTTCTGATTACTCAAACTACCACTTGATTGATGGTGGATCTTCCATGGTATTAGCTCTGAGTATTGCAAACAAAAATTTGCTCAAAGTTAGGGCTTTTTTTTACTAAAAAAATGGAGAAAAAAACTCAAATCGGCTCCAAGGATGATGGTCATAAGTTGAACCGGCCTCTCCTTTTCCCTTTGGTCAAGTCCCATGTGCGTAAAAGTTAATAGAAAATAGTACTTTTTAGTGAAGGCTGCCCTTTATCTTTTGTAATTTTACCAAATTGCCACCAATATTTGAAAAGAAAAAAAAATTTGTAATATCACCAACCAATTACCGACCGAATGTGAAATTGTTTATTTTCTGTCGGTAAACCATCGATGTATTGTAACGGAATACCAACGAAAAGTATTACATCGTTAAGCCGTCGGAAATCAGTCACTAGAATCCTCATAATCAAGTTTTTTTTTAATTCGTTTGTGTGTCGTTGCTATTAGCGCCGAATTTTCTGTTGCTAAAATTCTGTCGCTAATACCTTTTTTCCTAGTAGTGGGATGTGCCAAATATAAATAAGCATTCCAAAAGGACAGACAAAATGAGAAAAATTTTATTGATTTCAGATAAAGGAAAATTACAAAAACGAAATGAAAATTGACTTGTCTTTAATCATAGGATTATTGACACACACACAACTTCAATATTAAGTATTGAAGGTCGAACAATGTCCAACTATTATTGAAAAAATAAAACCAAAAGTGCATAATTTTTTTATTGAAATTCTCCACCATGAGAAAATGTTATTCAAGCATATCGGGCAAGGATTGGGACACATATACTTTCCAACTGATTCGATTTCTTCGTATACTCATCAACCTCAGCAAGCTTCGTTCCATGAAGAATTTGGCGGCGTACATCCTCTATCGCTTTTTCCATTTTTTCAATGTCTTCGCTTTTGATTTTGCTTCTTATGCTTTTGATTTTGTTTTTCAATTTGTAAATGTAATCCTCCAAATCGCTACGTGCAGAAATCTTTTCCTTGAACTCCTCGTCCTCAATTTTGTACCTTTGAGCATCTACAACCATTTTTTTGATGTCAGCCTTTGAAAGCCTCTGCTTGTCATGGCCAATTCTTACCTTCTTTGTAAGGCCAGTGGTTACTTCCTCCCCCGAGCAGTTTAAAATACCATTTTCATCGATATCAAATACCACTTTTACCTGTGATGTACCCTTCGGAGCAACAGGGACTGCAACTGTGAATTCTCCTAACCAGTTATTGTCTATAGCCCTAGTTCTCTCCCCCTGATAGACATTGAAAAGTATAGCACTTTGGTTATCCTCAGCTGTAGTGTACTTGGCTTCCCTAGTCAATGGTTTTTTGGCATTTCTTTTGACTATAACAGATAAAGAAGTGTCATAAAGAGCTACACCAAGTGACAATGGAACAATATCCATCAACTCGAAGTTGCTAACTTGTGGACTACTTTCTCCACTTAACTTAGCAGCAAGAACTGCTGCACCATATGCAACAGCCTCATCTGGGTTAATCTTGTTTGAAAGCTCTTTCCCATTGAAGAAGTCTTTTAACAATTGTTGAACCTTGGGTATCCTGGTTGACCCACCAACAAGTACTACCTCATCTATATCTATCTTATTAAAACCTGCATCACATAAACAACTATCCACCATCTGTATGCAATTAGTAAAGAAATCTTCATTCAGATATTCAAATTTTGCACGAGTAATTCTCATAGAAAAGTCAACACCCTGATGCAAAGAGTCAATTTCAACCGTAGTTTCAGTTGTTGAAGAGAGAATCCGTTTTGCTTTTTCACAAGCCACCTTCAACCGACTCAGTGCTTTTACATTCCCACTCATATCTGTCTTGTGCTTTTCATTGAATTGCTTCACAAAATGGTCCACCATAATGTTGTCAAAGTCCTGACCACCTAAGTTAGTGTCACCAGCAACAGCATTCACTCGAAACGTACCATTTACATCAATGGTGACAAGAGATACATCGAAAGTACCACCCCCCAAGTCAAAGATGAGCACATTGGTTCCACGAGTTATATTTGTACTCATGTGTAACCCATAAGCGATTGCAGCTGAGGTAGGTTCATTGATTATTTGTAGAACATTAAGTCCAGCAACAAATCCTGCATCCTTTGTTGCTTGACGTTGTGAATCATCAAAATAAGCTGGCACAGTGATGACTGCATCTATCACAGTATCACCTAGGTATGCTTCTGCAACATCTTTCAGTTTCATAAGAACCATGGATGAAATCTCCTCTGGAAAAAATTCCCTCTTTTCACCATTGTAGTTGACTACAATCTTTGGAATGTCGGTAGTCCCTTTGATAATTTCAAAAGGCCATAACTTCATGTCTTCTTGAAGTTTGGCATCATTGAATCTCCTTCCGATCAACCTTTTCGAATCTGAAAATCCACCATGTATCTTATAATTAACCAAGTATAAATAATCACTCTTTTATAAAATGGAAGTGTGCAAGAAGTCAGAAAGGATTAAAGGTGGTATATAATACAAACCATAGATTGTGTGGGCAGGGTTTATAGTGAGCTGGTTCTTAGCACCTTCACCAATGAAACGTCCTGTATCGCTGAAAGATACACAAGATGGCATGGTCCTATTACCTTGATCGTTGGGTATGATTTCCACTTGGCCATTTCGCCAAACACCCACACAAGAATAAGTTGTTCCTAGGTCAATCCCAATTGCGGGTGCAATACCATCTCCAACCATTATGCTTTCAAGTCAAATCTGCATTATAAGAAATATAGGAACCATTATTAGTTTGATGTTTGTATTCGTGTATCTTCGAATGTATTTAAATTAATTTGCGCACAAATCAACACCTTTCCCCAAGAAAAAGTAAACAAACTTTTGCATCAAATGAATTACCATTATTGGTTTGTTACAGATTTAGTATTTCTATTTCAGTTGTATAAGTTTTATAAAAGCAATCCACTAGTGATACCAATACGCTGTTCATTTTATACAAAAGTTAAGGTCGGATCAGGATCGTAAGATCTTACCGTAATGAACTAATTCAAATTTACTTGTGTAATCAACTTTATCTTCTTAAGAATCACCTATAATTTTTGTTGATACAAACCGTAGACATTAAGAATAAAATATCTTAATTAAAAATAAGATCATTTTAATCATGTATAACTAAGGCATAAGATCACAAATGGTTTATTATGGGTATGTTATGCTTAACTCCAGATGAATTGATAAAATGGTGATGCTCGAGAAGACTTCGTACAACTTGTGACACTCGATTTCAAATATGAATAAATGGATTTTTGATACTTGGCTATATAATAAACTAAAGAAGTGGAATCGGGATCGTAGTGTTATCGAGATCGATTTTCACTTATAATATCTTAAAATCGTAAGATCATAAGATGAAAATCGAGATTTTAACAATCTTGGTTTTATCCCAACATCAATTTTTTAATAACTATATACAAAATTTATCAAGTTTTTTTTAAAAATGTCAAATAACCGGTTTTGAAATTCAGGTACCGCCGGTTTTGAAATTCAGGTACCGCATGCCACGTAACATGCCACATGTCTATCGGTTTGCACCTATCTAACTTAGGAAACAATGCTTCAATAATAAAAAATAAGAAAACATCCGTGCACATTATCAAGCTCGAGACCTACAGGTGGCAATTTTTTGTTTAACTTTATTTGCATGTTTTTTATTTTACTTCTTTGTAATCTCATTAATTTTTAACATATAATTATATATGTTTTAAAAAAAATACTTAATTCTATGTATTCTTTTATATATATATATATATATATATATATATATATATATATATATATATATATATATATATATATATATAATAAACCACAAAACTATATTTTTAACTTGATAAATATACTTGGTTCGGCTATCACTTGGTAAATATACCATCCACCATAGCATTTCTTCCCTCAATTATTACTTAATTCACGCACCAATCACATCGTGTTTTAATAAGGATGTGATTTGTTAGGAAATCACAGTATTTTTTTTTTCCAAAAAAATTGTTAGCTAATAAAACGACATAGTTTCATAAAGTTTAGTATGTAAGTTTAAGTGAGGCTGTAATGTATATTCAATTTTCCTTTTATATATATATATATATATATATATATATATATATATATATATATATATATATATATATATATAGGGGCGTACTTACTAAGGGCAAAGGTAGGTCCTATGACCTACCTAAAATTTCAATTTCATTTAATATATATAGTAGAAAAATCAGGTGCTGCCTTAGAAAACATAGATGACCTATCTTGAGTTTGTTTTTTTATAAAAATGTCTTAAAAAACCATTTTAAAAGGAGAAAAATATGTTATTATGGAAAATTTGTTATCTTAAATTATGAGATTGATAACAAAAAGTTAATAACTCTTAATCGGTACTTCCAAAATATCAATAAATAAATAAATTGTTCTAATAAAAAGAAGCCAGCATGCCAAAGACTCTCACTCTTCGTTCTTCTCTTTATCAATAAATTAATAATCAATTAGTTTTTCATTAAACAATACGATTTTTTTCAGTTATATTTCAATCGGTTTTTTAAAATTTTTAATCGATGGCGCTTAATCGGTTTTAACCAGCAACTGGTTGGTTCACTTTTTTTAAGGTACACGAACCAACCAACCCCCACAAGTGTTGCGTATATTTTTTTTATTGACTTCACTTAATTTGCGAACGATGTGATTTTTAGTTCTAGATTCGACAATATATATATATATATATATATATATATATATATATATATATATATATATATATATATATATATATATATTGTCTAGCGTAAAAATTTATACAATATTTGCAAGTGTTGAAGGCTTACAACTTTTTTTTTTGTGTAAAGAACACTTGTCCGTCGATCTTCTATTCTCCTGCACATACATTGATAAGAAATAGCACCAAGCGTTAGGTTCATTTCATATGATAGCATAACTTATGAACATAACTGATTTTTAACATTTCGTCAAATAAACCCATGGGAGGAGCTTCAACATTTTATTTTGGGGGGGGGGGGGGGGGGGGGGGGGCGGGGGGGGGATCATGAATACATAACATATATGTAAGACTGGATTGAAAAATAAAGTCTATAACATCTAAAAAGAGTATGAGAAAAAGATTTTAAAGAATAATACATGGTATCATAATCTTACCTTTTATCAAGGAATGCATGAACCAACACCTCAACACCCTTCTCTATATATACAAACGAATTACCCAAATGTTATTCGATCAATCCAATATTAAAAGACTTGGAGTCATTTTATATTATTTGAGAGATTTAAAACACTTGGTTACCACTTACCACACATGCTATCTTTTACGTAATGGAGTTAAAATAATTTATGTTGATTTATTTGTGGAACATGGCATATTTTTAGTGTATTGCCTTATTTAACACCCTACGATCCAAACCCAACAGTAATCCTGTCACTATTGTCATACAAAGGATTTTCCCCCCAATCAAACTCCGTTAGCTGACTTGTGGGTTATTCTTAGCCGCAATTTTACTATTGATAGTCGGTCTTTACTGTCTTTACTGATGACTTAAAGGTGATATCTTTTAGTGATAGATTACTGACAAACCGGTTTAGTTGTGATGGATATATTTAATTATGTACTCTAAGACACATATAATAGATATTAATTGAAGTATTAGTTATAAGAAATATTATCATAATTAAAAATGATAAACAATTATTATGTGTAATATTACCATAACTAAATGTAAAATACATTAATTTTAAAACATATTATTTATAATTAATATTTATCATATTTAATTATGGTAATATTCTTTATAATTAATACTTCAATTAATGCTTCTTATATATGTCTTTAGGCACATATTAGAAAATCTCATAAAACCATCGGAAATCTTTATCAATGGATTCTTGACGTGCATACTTAACAACATATTACGAACGGATTTTACAATCTTTCTAGTTAGGATGTATCTTGCTAATCCGTGGCTATATAGTAGATGTATTTTTATTTACATAAAAATCCATATTTTTTAGTATCAAACACATACAGCTTTAATAAAAAAACATCAAATTCAAGTTTTTTAAATGGTAATCCGTCGCTCTTCTATGTAATTTATTTACATAAAAATTCATATTTTTATATACATTTTTGTGGATAATATCGAGATACCTTATTTTCTATCCATAATACAAACACACTCAAAAAATAAATTTTACACGTTGCATCAATGTTGTTTTGTTCATCTATTTTGTCACTTTGTTTTTTTATGGTGTGTGTGGTACATGTGCGGTGTCTTATTGTACCTTCTATTTTGTAGAAGTTATTGCAAATGATGCATTGCAAAACTTTAATCCGTTATATGTTCTTATTTTCATGGCTTTTTTCGATGTCAATTTTCGACCACAATCTTCCACTCCTTGTACTTCTAAACACTTCATATTTTATCTTCATAAAATACAACCACACCCTCCTTGAATAATTATCAACTAATGTCAGAAACTATTAGCATCAACCAAGAAAATTCATTAAAAAGGAAACCCATAAAACTTAGTGAACATGATCGAGGATTTGTTTACTTGTGTGTTGACCAAAATTGAACTTCACCAATACTTTCCTTCGACACAAGCTTCATAGAATTTGACTTCTCCAACTAGTTATGCACCAACCAACCCTTGTTTACTAGAGATTGACATGCCTTTCTCTCTCATGTCCCCCGATCTTTGATGCCATAACTCTTTGTTTTCATCATGTTGTTCCAAAGATTGAAACACATCTACCATTCCTCTAAATATGCAATCTTCTAGAAAAAAATATTACATGTTGCATCTCTCCTTCATAACTACTGGACCATATTTACAAATTTTTTAACATGTCATCTTCACAAGAATACCTTAACCCATGCTTAGCCAAAGATCCAAGACAAATCAGGTTCTTCCGGCGATTAGGAACACACCGACAAACGATTTTTCTGATCATACCATCATACATTTTGATCTGCACCTTAACATTGCCCTTGATACTCTACATCCCTTCATCAACTATATATACAACATGATTCCATTATTTAAAAGGTTCAAAATAATCATGAGTATATGTTATATGGAGATATGCACATAAGTCTAAGATCTAAGCATCTCCAGAACTAAACGCACGTATAGCCAAAACGTTGACTATGTCTCATTTTTTGAACTTTCTTTAATAGCAACGCCACTGTTATTAGTTCTTTGTTTATCCTTGAAATTCCCTTTCTTTTGTTGTGGGCAATCCCTTATGGTGTAACACTCGATTCAAAGTACTTTTCAGTTTAGACCCCTTGGTGTGTTAATGTTTTGCAGAATTGGTCCCTAGGGGCGGATTTGCCAATTTCAGGAAAGTTAGAGTACGTTGGGCGTACTAGCCCGATGTTGGTCGCGGAGCTCATCTACGTACGTGGAGTACGTATGGCGTACATGAGCAATTATGAAACCCTAATTTTAGGCCTTGCACTATATATAAACCATATAATAGCCTCATTTGGCCATGTTTAACCAGCCTCCATATCTTCAAAACCCTAAATTTGTCCCTTAGCCTTTGTGTGGTGCTTTTGAGCTCGTGTGAATCATTTGGTGTGTTTTGTGCATCTTGAAGAGGAAGGAGAAGATTGAAGACTCATCCTTTGGAGAGGAGCTTAGAGATCCAGCTTTAGAATCTCCACTTCGTG